CTTATTTCACGGCTCATCCTTCTATAATAACTCGCTTGCTCCTTTTCTCACGGCTTACTTGCTCGAAGTTGAACTGAAATTCAAATACTTTAAAACAGTTTTCTCGAATATAACGTTCCTTCCCATTTTCAAGGATGGAATCAATAATTCGGCTAAATGAACGAATTAGGCCACGATCAACAAGTGTGTTTCATTATATTCAATCTCGTAAAAGCTCCTATAATACCAGAAAATTGATGCGAGATGGGGAACAGGAACTTCTCATCGATCGACGTTTTCTCTTGCTATCGATGGCATTCTTAAATCAGCTTTAATATGTGTTAACCTCCTGAATCATCGATAAAAATGATCAGGAAAGTGGGGAATCAATGATTCCGCGACGACTATCTTTGAATGTTTGTTTTTTCGGTTTTTTATTTTTGCCTACACGATACAGTCAGTCTTTTGAATAGCACCACTTCAACAAAGCATTATCAAAAGCTTTGTTCGCAATTGAAGTCAATTGTATTTTTATTCAGCCAATAAAACACTTACGTTTTAATGCCATTGTCAAGATATTTCATGCTGTTCATAAAATATCTCGATGAAATAAGGGGAATGGGGTCTAGGAAATTAGCCGACAAGCAAATAAGAACACTGAAAAATTACGGAACTTAGGCGATTACTCTTTGTGAATTTAGACAATGTAAACTGGGGCGACAAAACTTTTTGGTATGAATGAAGTTACACAAAAAAAATAGTGTATTATTACAGAATCGATCAAAAATATTAAGTATAAAGTTAATAAAAAAACATTACATTGAAAAAGTATGGTACATTTTTAATATGCTTGCATTATGCAATTGCGAATCAATAACTTGATATGCGGTTTGACTACCAGTGTTTGCCCAAGCAAAAACTTAACTATGCACACAATTTTTACGCAGTTTGAACGTAAGCGATCGTCTAGAAATTTTGTTACTTTCTGATCTTCTAATTTGATTGTCGTCTGATTTCCTAAGCCCCAAGGGGATCAAGCTGAAGAATGGAAGCGTTAGTTTTAGCAACCAGATTTCGAAGTCTGCGTTTTGATAAGTTGAGAATTATCATAGATTGCTTAAAAACTTTTTTTAGTTATGTGCTAATTACGCAAATACGCCCTCTAGATGAGTTAAAACAATTTGCCCATACGCTATTTACACGGTGAAATGAAAATGTGCAACATCGACACCAGGTTAATTTTATTTGAGCTCCACTTTGTTCTGTTTGATTGAGACTGGTGTGAATTAATACTACGCTACAAAATTGGTTTATGTTTCAACCAAACACCAAAACCAATCAAAAACTGAACATTGAACTGAAAAGTGCTACGTTTTACCCATCCAGATTTGATTCCTTCAAATTTTGGGCGAGCAAAATTTCCATGCATTAACACGGGGACAGAATATATACTGTCAAGGTTTTTGCATTAAATTTCCCGCGCGTTATCTAATGGCTAAATTTCTATGGCATATTACGGGTAGAAATTAAAATGAAACCATGACTGTAGCAATTTTAAAGCAGTTACATAAGATTTAAAAAGTTTGCTATTTTTACATTCAAATCAAGTTGTTTTCTCATTTTTTGTAATGGCGAAATACAACCAAAACTAAATTATATTTTTTCTTGTTTCATTTTCCAAGTATCAAATTTATTATGCTGGCACTAGCTAAAAATAATATGAAATCTAATTGTAGCATAGCTGAAAGTTTCGATTATTTGGAAAAAAAATCCTTTAAAAAACAACGTTGCTTCGAGAAAATGTACGTTCAAATCAATAACACTAGACTCATTATCTGCCAACAAGTCAAAACTGGTCCACTTGACACATTTTATTTAAATATTTTACTGATTTTGCTGCACTCAATTGAGGAACAACTTTGATTCATTTGATAGATCATTTGTAGCTAAAAGCAGTGAAAATGCCATAATTAGATTCTAAGCTGGAATTCCGTCGAACATTCTGTCTAGTTCATCTAAACGAGACAAAACTAGAGCTAAAATAGCAAATAAATTGAATTTTTGAGAAAATTCCTGATAATTTATTTCCACTTGTTATTATTCTCTTGGCAGGTGATGTTTTTGAACCAAATATTGACGTGTCGACGCGTATCACTCTGAGATTCTCGAATTTTTTTTGGTCGAACCGATTTCGAATATCATGTTGGCGCATAAGTATTGGCAAATAAGTAACCTGCAAAGCAAAATTATTTGATGATTTAAAATTGAATAGCCATAAAAGTTAAACCCAGATAAAACTTTTCTCACTCCACGAGATATTTCTTTAGATATTTTTAGTGCAATCTCAATGATTAAAAATAGTTAAATCAAAAAAGTTCAAGAGTAACTATTAGAATTTTTTCAAGGGTTCTTTTTAGTATTCTTCAAGTATTTTAATGAATTTTTCAAATACTCCACGCAACCTCAAAACACGGCGCTCTATGTATGGTTTTGAACGCCAAAACTTGATCGATAAACCAGGAAAATATTGCTTATGAATGCTATTTTTTGGGAATTCTAATAAGATGAGGCTACAAATTTACACTCCGAGAGACCAGTTTAAAAAGCACAGCAACCGTAAAATCTCTTCCCCGTAAGTGGCCTACTGTATAAAGTCCTCCTGAAGGATGCATTAAGTCTTAAAATTAATTCAGTACACAACTTGCATATCATACAAACTCACAAAATGTAGGCTATTTTCAAAACTTTCATACAATTTTTTTGGGGGTTCAAAATAGGTTAAATCGACCTTTTATTTTTGTTTCGACTAGTAAATCTGTTGAGCAGGTGATAACGTAACATTAAAAAATTGTTGAAAAAAGAAACGATAGTCATTAAAACATCCCGCAACAGACAAAATTGTATTCATTGCACTTGATATTCTTCTTATTAGGGCATTATTATTAACATTATTCCTTTATTAGGGCATTATTAGGGTGTTATTGAAACTATTTACTTTCATAAACTGGTTTTGAAAAGGTGGAATGAAAAATGCGATTGTTTCCATGTTAATGTATTGAACATGTTTCCTTGCCACATTATTGCAAATAGTGATGGTCAGGTTCAGCTAATGAAATGTTTCTGGTAAGAAATGAGCAATCAACATATTTTAGATTAGCATTTGGATTATTCAAGTCTTACCCGAGTGATTTTAATTCGAACTTCAGTGATTGGTAGTAACATATTTCGACAAGTGAAAAAATCGATAGCAAGCCTCCCATAAAGTGAGGTTGTTATCATTTTTCTTAGGAATTGACTCTAACAATAAACGGATGCATATCAGATTTTCTGGAAGTTCTTCAAAATTGTGTTCAAGAAAACTTTTCTTTAGTACGTTTGTTCGATGTGTGCTTTATGAAGGTATAATCCATTGTCGTTGTAAATCAATGTATTTCTAAAACAAGCGTAGCCGGTTACATTGTAAAAAGCACAGATGACCCGAACATAGTCATAAAATTAAAAATTCATTTTTTCTAGGTATACTTTATCAATTGCATATAAACTGCTAGATATATTGAGTGGGAAAATTTCTGAAATGCATTTTATATTAATGCACTGTTGCTTAAAACAAATAGATTTTTTCGGTTCATACGATGAATTAAAAATGCATCAATTATTTCACTTCTCGAATGTCCAAGACCATTGTATCAAAACCTGGCACAAATATTTGCGACTTAGGTTCGAAAAACAGAATAGTCGTACTGTTACACTACGCTCGGTTAAGCTCGATTGTGAAAAAATCAGTACCTTTTAAGGGTCTAAAAATCTTCTCAATCTAAGTCATTATCTTCTTTCCTCTGCGGTATCTTGTCTATTTGATTTGATTATCATTAGATCTATACCTCTATAATTTTTGACCGCTTTCGTTGGAATTTTTGCTACACGTGGCTAAATAATACGCGCACTTCGCCATCTTATCACAAATGCCAAGTTCAACTTAGGTGCGATATCTTAGATGTCGTATCTTATCTTGCATGTTAAGTTCAAATTAGAAGACACCTACCGACCTGGACAACGCTGACCTGACCGTGCGTAGTCCATGACCTGATTAACCGATCCTACAGATAGAAACTTGGTTTCTGCGCTTTGAAACTTTCGTGAAGCAGCAACATTGAACTTATTTTTTTTTCAGGTTCATTCAGTTGGCAGCCGTTTGAGCTGATTATTGTACCAACATGGTCAATAGCCGATAGCCTAAGCTGACAATTTTAGTTGAGTACTTGTTTGCATAAAACCACTTTTAAAACTTCCTTTGAAATTCACCCTCAATTGCATCGGAAAAAAAGGTTATGGATTCTAAGACAAACTTTGCTAGTGTAACCCTAGCTGATACTATTATTTTCCCCTAATTTTTGAATCGAAGCTTTATGGCTTTTGATTTTCCATATCAAACCAGTAAAAAATTCTTTTTAAACTATGGCTTGCCCTGATCACATATCTGGAGCTTTGACCCTTAATACATCCTGCAAAATGATCTTTGAACCAATTCAAGTGCCACATTGTTTTCTCGAGTGCAGTCAATAGAACAGTCATAAATTCAAATATCTGCAGGGGGGGGGGGGTGGGGCTGGGGGGGTTGTTGGTTTTTATAAGTTTTCGAAAAAAAAAATTGTCGACATTTTTTAAGGTTGACAAAATTGATTTACCAAGCTCTCCCAAAGCAGTAAAAAGACTATTTTTGTCAAATTATCTGCACCGCAAGCAAAATTTTGAAAACCCACGCTAAAAAAAGAGGCAATTATAGGCACTTTTTTTGGAAAATTTTGACCAAAAAATTGCAAATTTTGGCGCGCTTTCCCACTTAATAATAGTAAATATTGGCGCCAAAGGATTTTAGGGTCCATCATACAAAATTGATTTCTCAAAAAAGTGCAAAGGGGGACCCTTTAGGTAGGCAGGGGTTGGAATCTCGGAGGGGGATGGCATCCCCCTCCCTAAATCTGCTACTGAATAACTGTCAGAACATTCAGTACCAAGGAATGTCAAAACCAAAGGCAACTTGATTTTTTAAACGGTCAAAGCATATTTCATTTGCCACAGATTCAAAGACTTTCCAACTCAAATAAGGAATTAAGAGAAATATATAGATGAGATATAAAATTTTACATGGAATTCATAAACCTTTGATATAATTTATGTCTGTTTTAAGTTGGAGCAACTTTCGCCAAATGCTGGGAATTAATTTTCAGAATCATGGTTATCAAGCCAATTGATCAACCAACGAAGCAATGTGCCGGTTTGACAAACAGTTCATTCGGGGTCAATTGCTTAACTAGTTTTCCCATCTCCTTATTAGATCGAAGCAAGTTAATATTCACCGTCGGCATTTTGCAAAAGCCTACTGCGATCGGAATCAACGTGTAATTAATCGTCTTGACAGCTGCAGGCATAAGTCTACAATGCAGACTCTTGTTACCCGAGAAAACCATGTTGTCATCTGCAGATTCCACTTGTATTTGCATCTCCTGTAGGATGTCGCTGTTGTTTTTCACGTGGTATTTGACATGCATGGGTTGTTGCACATAGCCGAATGGGTCCAGTTCTGCCTTGATGCTAATAGGCACTGGGTCTATGTTGTGTTGTGGACTAATGTCTAAAGTGGTCGTCACTAAAAAACAATAATTTAATTTCAACTAAATATACGTTCCAGAAAATTCAACAAAAAATACATTATCATTAGCATAGTTAAGAAAGGATATGCGCCCACACCTCAAGTCTGGGCATCAATGTTTTTGTACAAAACCTACTTCCTTTGATGCCATTTAGAGAGATTACAAGTTTTGTACGATTCGATTCAATATACAATTACTTTCAAAGGGCGCGCTCCTAAATAATTTTTCAGTCAAACACCGCAAAAAATTGCTCGTACAAAATAGAATTAAAGAAGTTTTGACCTGACAAGCCAATCGTCTAACAGCAACGATTGACTTACAGCGACTAAGAATTTCTTAACAAATTCTACAATATCTTACCTAACGGAAGATTCAAATTTTCTGTTGGTTCTCGATGCCATGTTAGCACCAGTTTGCCCAAATTCAGAGTCGTAGGTAACGGCATCGGCGTAGTCTGAGCTGCAACAACTATATTTGCACTCTCTTGTGGATTTAACACAACCCCTTTCAAAGATTCATCGCTCTCTTGTATTTTTTCAATCGCTTCATTCAACCTAAAGCTACCTTGGTCAATTTCAATCGGCCACAGTGACAGTGCTTGTATTTTTGACATAATGAGAAACGTTTCCTCTCCGTGTATTGTTTCCAGAGGGTCCATGGTTATTGTTGCAACTCGTGAAATCATTTCATATGGCTTTACAACCGGAAGCTCAATCGTTTCCTCCTTCAAGCACGAACAAGTTAGTCTTATCTCTTCCTTTATTTGTTCAACAACCGCTGATTTTTCCATGTCATCTGAGTTTTTCAGCATTTCTGCAGGTTGGTTAACGTCGACATCGTGAGAAATTTTTACATGCAGTTTCTCGCTGATGTCTTGGAAACATCTCACAAAAAGAGTAAGCGTGAGCTTCTCTTGAGGCACAATTGGATCCGTCAAATCTCGATGAATATGCGCAATCTTTACATCGTCATCTTGAGCAGGCCAGTCTAGATTTACTTGAGGTGACGGCACTTGCCTTTGATCTTCGAATAAAATGTCTAATTTTGTATTGACTATCGGTTGCAGTTCGTTGTTTTCGATGACAACCTCTATTTTGTACCATTCTTGCATCAAAACGGGGGGTTTGTGAGTCACTTTGATGAAGACTTGAGATTCTCTGGGTTTGATCAAGCACGAGGGTTTTAGAGGTGTCACGTTCAAATTCGAGAAGACTCCCTTCTCTAAAAAAACGCATCCCTTTTATTTAATTTTAAACTGCAAAAAAAAGAAAACTTCAGGATACTTACCCCTATAGCCCTCTCCTCAGCCAAGAAAATGTTCTCACCGTAACACAACCTTGTATCATTATGGCCACACTTTTAAGAATACGTATAAAGGTAATTTTTGATATAGATACAGCAATGCTTTATGCTTTTTCATAACTATGATCTCAAAATTTTTTTTAACTAACTGCTTGCATAGGACAATTTGGAATGAGTCGTGAAGTCGAATTTGTTCTGGAACTTGACCCGCTGTTCCGATGAAATGAATGTCTCTGCATGTGACTGATTGCCCGTCCAAGTTAACACTGCGTGTCGCTTGTCACTCTGACCTAAAGTGCATCAAATCTTTAAGAATTTGCTAGATGTCTATACAACTTATCTGCTGCATTGAAAAGCGGATGCTTTTCTGATGCGGTCAAAAAATACTGATTGGACGTTGCAAAACAATATAAACTCTAAACATTGTGTCTTTCAAGCTAATATATTGTTAAAACTGCATGATCTAATTAATTATTTGTTGTCAAAACAAAATTGAACATCAAAATTGTCGTAGAAATATTTTTGGATGACAATGAGGAGGAAGATGAGTTCAACACTGACCAAGTTGCATGCGTACTGATGAGATTTCGAGTTTTCGAGATATATCTGTATGGATAGGAAAGAATTTGAAAGAGATCTGCTTGACTTCATCTGGCTTAATAGTCAGATCTGTTGGTCGAACTGCGCATCTAGTGTCACCACCCTGTTCCACACTAAAACAAAATTTAATACACAGAAAGGAAGGGTAGCTTCGCAACACTTGCAATACAATACCAACACAGACAACAGACAATTGGAAAAGAGTCAAGGTACGCAAGGAAACACCAAAACAATATATGACCTTAAAAGTCAATTTGATGAATTAATCAAATGAACTCGAATAGTAGTGTTAACTCGAAAATATTAGAATTTAAAGCACTTGATATCAAAAAATCGTAAAGGCGTCCAAAAGTGGCACCAATATTTGCAACTTTAGAAAAAAAAGAATAGTCGTACTATTACACTAACGCAAGTGTAAAGTTCGCAAGTGTAATTATTGATTGTGATGAACATTTTTGTGATGATATTAACTTAATTTGAGAAAAGTGGATCAATAGGAAAAATTTGTATTCCGCTGGGAGGTCTGAAAGTTTGTATCGACTTTCAACATTAGAAGTCAATCAAGTTTTTCGTGACCTTTACAATGTTCATCATCTCTTTAACATAGTATTGCAAGCTAGCGGATACTCCAAAAATGGGACGGAAGTTGCTAAAACATGTTTGCAAAAAGCTTCTTTTAGTACAAAAATTTCAAACCTTGTCTCGAATGATGTTCATTATAAGGAAAACAAGCACAAGCGCTGAATCAGCATTCAAAATCAATAATTGAGCAGCAACAGAGTCGTTAATGCTTGGGTAAATTCCTGTTGAGCGATGAACAAAATTCCTGTCACGAAAATTTGGGCTTTAAAATATTAAAAATCGAGGTGTTTATGCCTCACACTCCTCAAATCTACAAAAATTTATTACAATTTTAACCACCCGCCGAACGACCCAAATAAAGTGACTAAGACGACATAACAAGCCAAAACCATTTAATCGGTGATCAAAAAGTGTTGGTTTAAAAAGGATTGTAAACTTACCAAGTTAGTAAATTTACAGAATACAAAACGACTTTTTAAGAGTAGTAATCGGAAAAAAACCCAATGCTTTGGCATGTAAGCCGACCAAAAATAAATGCCAAAACGATAATCCGACAGCTCAAGTTTTTCCAGAAAAAAAAACAATTTCCTTGCATAAAAATGGGACTCAAAACCCAAAACTAAAGCAGGCGCTGTACCACTAAACCAAGTAAGAAGGACTGAAATTATTAAGGTTTTACAAAAAATAAGGTCAATTTCGTAAATGAAAATTTCGCAGATTTGCGCTCGTAAGTGAAATGAATTATTTAGCTTTTATAACAAAGATCAACTTCTTACGGATTTGCTCTCGCAAAAGAAATATGTTTTGTGGTTCCGACGATCGAAGGGTATGTTTTTATTTGGATCTTTTTTATTCCATGCAAAAACAGGTATCACAAACAAACGTCAGATGGGGTCGTTTGATACATCAGCATAGTGACTCAAGCTGCATCTGAATATTTAAATATCTCAACGGGCTAAACTTTTGAACATTTTGAAAGTAGAGTTAACTTACCCTGTGTTTCCAGTATTACCGCCGCTGTCCTCGTTGACATTGGTCATGTCCAAAGCGTCCACCACTACACAGAGCGGATCGTAGTTGGGGTTTGAGAAGTGCAGACTGAGGCGGGAGAAGCGGACTGGGAACTGGGCTGCTGAGTGCATGTGAACACTTAGCGACACTGCCTCGTCCGCGTTGAACAGATCCTAACCAAGATTTCTCCGAATGAGAACATGTTCAGCTCGTAACAACAAACCAAACTTAATCGACTCCCATATTTAAATAATAGGTATCAAAAAGTTATAAAAAGTAAATAATAGGTAATCATTTTAAAGTATAAATGATTACTTTTAAACAAACAAAGAGATCTGCAATATCAAAAAGCGTTCTCAGAAAATTTTGAGCGGAGAACTAAACAATAGTACTGTATGAAAAAACACATGAATTAAAGCTTCGAAGAACCTACCTTTTCGAATGTGGCTTTGATGGAAACAAAAGACGTGATCTTGTTCATATCCACAGCAAACATGCCAGATGGCCCGCTATTGTTGTTAATACACTGCTGCCACAGGTTGCGAGTGGTTTTCACTTGGTCAGGGTTGAGACTAGTAGTGGCGGATACTTCTACATTGGGAGGGTGGGGCACTGCACCTGCTAGCATCTGCATCAGGTTCATCTGGGTGGTCTGTTTGTAGTCTATCGGCAGACTGCAGAACTCACCCATCACCTCTGAACAATCGTTTTACATTTATGTCAGACTTTGGAAAGAGCTGACCATAAATTTTTGAAAATTAAAAAACTGCAAAATCGAAAACGATTATTGAAACTCAGTTAATTACAACAAATAAATTCAGAAAAATCTATTGATTAAGCCTCAAAAAGAGGGAATGCACGAAAATTTTGATGTAAACCATTCTAATTCAGTGTTCTAAAATCTGAAAAAAAAATCAGCTTCAAAACAAGTCCTTTTCCAACTGTTGACACAAAATCGAAGCTGCACTTAGCAAACCCAACCACGAAAACAGCATGAAATAGCTCTAAAAAGTCAAAAACAAATTGAAATAAGAAAAGGTAAAATAGAGCCTTGAAAAATAAATCTTTTGCTATGCACCAAAGTCGAACCTCCGACCCTGAGATTATAGAAGTATCATGTTCCCGCATCTACTCCATGGTAAAGTAGCTACATTTGCCATTAAACTAACACCGGTGTGCAGCAAAAGAGCTACTAAGTAAATTTTTTTCGATGAGCCAGAATTCAACCTCCAATTTGTAGATCACGAGTATCACGTCCTCGCAACTCCACCACGGTCGCTAGAAATAATCTAAATAGCTACTAATAAAGCAGCTACAGGTGATATTAAATTGCCAAAGCTTGGAATATACCAAAAAGGCCAACAAATGAGAACTATTATTAGCAACTTAGGTTGTAAAAAAAGTTGCTTCGTAGAATTTCACTATTCTTCGCTTGGGTAAAGACGCTGACAACTTTCGCTTATTTCGTGTCCTTCTATCATGATAACCGCCACCGAAACTAACTTAAAGATCACTAATTTGTAGATCCCAAGCCACACTCGCCCACTCACCTATAGATATAGAAGTGAAGTGTTCTATGTCTGCTATAACATATGCACAGTGTAGTGCCATCTGGAGAACGTTAGAGAAGAGTACTAGCCATGCCTCCAGTCTGTACTCTGGCAGCACCTTCAGCAAGTACTTGAGTGCCTTGGAGTGGTCCCCACTCTCACTACTGCAATATTCCTCACTAATCTGCACCATCATCCACCGCTTCATTCGCGCACAGTTGAACTTCTAAAACAACGAACATTTCCAAAAAATGACGCTGTTTCCCCCCTCAATACAAGCCTCCTCCTACTAATAAAGCTACCAAACCAAGAATACATTGGCAGAACAGGCAGTCGCAAAATAGCACCAAAGAGCAATCCTTTTGGAAAGTTTTTACAATCACATTCGCGCACAGTTGAACTTCCAAAACATCAGAAAAAACTCGAACGAGATCAAAAGAAACTTTAACTCTACAAAAACTGGAAAAGATTAATACAACATAGGACGCTAGAAAATAGGTAACTTTTATATCTACTAATAAGGACTTCTCAAACTGAGACGAATGATTCGAATTCAGGTGGTTAACCTTGAAATATATGACAGCCGAAAACAACAGCGGTGTGATGATCGGACTATATTTCACCGATAACTCCGCCTGTTGTAACATCTCAATTCCAGCCTTTTCTTTCTGCAAATCCGGAGGGTCAATGCTCTGGATTCCCGGTCTCCAAGGTCGCTGACCCCAAAACTCCAGCTGCACGTCCGAAAGGTCAAGCGGGGGTTGCTGCTGACTCGAGTATAAATTTCCACACACCATAGTTGCACTCTCTCGCCTTTGCATTGTTAAGTAGGCTGCTTGTTGATAATAAAATCCTGGGTGTTGTAATTGAATAGCTGAGAGCCCAATATTGACTGCTTCCTCAAAAAGCTCGGCGAAAATAGAAAACTGCTTCGAAAGCCAAGCGTAATGCTCAAAAATCAACTGCTGAGGCCCATGTTTAAGTTTGAAGTATTCTAAAAATAGTTTGAATTGTTTGATGGCTGATAGAGGCTGGTTGTTTTGGAAGTACAGCTTGCATATTTTGTAGTTAATGAAGCCCGCGATTGTTTTCACTTCCATTAAGTTCGTGTCGTATATTCGGACTGTTCCGTCTGTAAGGTTACCGTACGCCTAAAAATTGAAAAATAAAAAGCTTCCATATTAACGAATACTATAAATTTCTAAAGCTTTTCTTTTTTAACCCATATTTTTGTTTAAAAACACTTTAAAAATTTCGAAAAACTTTTCTCGGTTCTTAATTTGATCTGAAATTTCTCTATTAAGAGGTCTTTTTAGGAGATTAGTCAAACTGGCACCAACTACACATATTGCTCAAATTTTGGTCAGGAAAAACAAACAAAACGTCCGCCTGGTTGTCTACATTAGTCTGATCGATTACAAGTCGCCAAAAAGACAGACAACAAATTGTGCAAACCTGTTTATAATATTTCAACACTGTTTCGGTCTGTGCCTCCGGTCTATTTGGATTCTGCTGCATTTCCGAGAAAAACGCAATCTTAATGTAGTGTCTCACAAACAACAAGGCATGAGTAGTCTTGTTCAGATTATCCTTGTGACTTCTCACAACTCGAACCTGAGCTGTATAATAAGTATTAGCTAGTGCAAGTAATTCCTCGTGAATTCGTTTTATGTATCCGTCCATCACAGTTCCTTCTGAAAGCGGTAACACAAGCAAACTTTTTGGAGAAATTCCGCAAGCGTCACATAACTGGGCGGCGTAGTCACTGGCTTGCGGCGAATCTTCGCCTGCTGGCAAAATAACTCTTTTTTGGATCAGAATCAGGACTATTTTGGTTTGATGTCCGTTTTGAGGAGGTCCCATAGTTTGACCTTGAAGAGTCTGTTTTATTCGTTCGATTCTGGCTACACATTCGGATTGTTTCGCTGGCAAGTCACTGTCGTCCCAATTAAGCTCGAAGAACACGGCAACTACCGCTGGAACATGATTCAAGTGCTTATCAATCCACCCCATTTTCAAAATACCCTTCGGAATGTACCATTCGTACGAACCCTTTTTGGGCTTGGGCTTAGGAACTTCGAAATTGAGATCAACAATTTTGGAACTCAACGAAGCATTTGGTTTGTGGAACGAGCTGAAACTCTCTCCGATCGCCGAATGTGTTCTGTTCGTTTGATCCAAGCCACACAGAAACACAAGAGGGCGAGGTCTTTTGAGGATTTCCTCAGGAAAAACACAGGCAGAAGCCATCTACAAAATAGGCCAATAAGACATCTGAAAAGTACAGAAGTAGACAGAGTCAAAATGAAACCTTTCATTATCTAAAAACCTCCGCGAATAACAAAAACAGTATCATTGAGCACAGATACGAAGCGAAGCTTCGCACCGCGTCCGCTTCAAAAATAAAGCCAACAATCATCTCTTAAATTTTGAAAATTCTTAAAAAAGAAATTTCAAAAACGCTCGAACTGCTACAACGAATTTGTAGAAAATTTATAAAAACTCTGAATATCTATGAAGTTTTCGCAATTACATCATTCTTCTCAAAAATGACGTGAATGCACAACGGTGAATAAAACGTGCGGCAAGTGAGCCGACAAAATTGGGACGAAATCCTAGCAACCGACAAAAATAATTTTTATCTGAAAATTTTTTCAGCTATAATCTAGTATCGCTTCAGCATCTCTAGACCAAGAACTAGAGCTGCTAAAAGTGCAACTTGGCTAGAACTGTAGATCCTGTGAACAAAGTTATTTAGGGGAAAAAATATCCTTATTTCACAAGCTATCATCGTTCCGCTCGCTCACGAAAAGCAGAAGAAAAAATTGCGTATGTTGAGTAGGATACTAAAGCCTTTCAGTGTTGAATCAGAATAACTGGCAAGCGTGTCTCCATGATCAATTGCTCAAGAGTTGGTTGTTCAATTTTTTCTAAGCAAGCTAATTGAGCCATGAAACTTTGAAATATTTCAAGCTCAATACAAGCCTCCTCCTACTAATAAAGCTACCAAACCAAGAATACATTGGCAGAACAGGCAGTCGCAAAATAGCACCAAAGAGCAATCCTTTTGGAAAGTTTTTACAATCACATTCGCGCACAGTTGAACTTCCAAAACATCAGAAAAAACTCGAACGAGATCAAAAGAAACTTTAACTCTACAAAAACTGGAAAAGATTAATACAACATAGGACGCTAGAAAATAGGTAACTTTTATATCTACTAATAAGGACTTCTCAAACTGAGACGAATGATTCGAATTCAGGTGGTTAACCTTGAAATATATGACAGCCGAAAACAACAGCGGTGTGATGATCGGACTATATTTCACCGATAACTCCGCCTGTTGTAACATCTCAATTCCAGCCTTTTCTTTCTGCAAATCCGGAGGGTCAATGCTCTGGATTCCCGGTCTCCAAGGTCGCTGACCCCAAAACTCCAGCTGCACGTCCGAAAGGTCAAGCGGGGGTTGCTGCTGACTCGAGTATAAATTTCCACACACCATAGTTGCACTCTCTCGCCTTTGCATTGTTAAGTAGGCTGCTTGTTGATAATAAAATCCTGGGTGTTGTAATTGAATAGCTGAGAGCCCAATATTGACTGCTTCCTCAAAAAGCTCGGCGAAAATAGAAAACTGCTTCGAAAGCCAAGCGTAATGCTCAAAAATCAACTGCTGAGGCCCATGTTTAAGTTTGAAGTATTCTAAAAATAGTTTGAATTGTTTGATGGCTGATAGAGGCTGGTTGTTTTGGAAGTACAGCTTGCATATTTTGTAGTTAATGAAGCCCGCGATTGTTTTCACTTCCATTAAGTTCGTGTCGTATATTCGGACTGTTCCGTCTGTAAGGTTACCGTACGCCTAAAAATTGAAAAATAAAAAGCTTCCATATTAACGAATACTATAAATTTCTAAAGCTTTTCTTTTTTAACCCATATTTTTGTTTAAAAACACTTTAAAAATTTCGAAAAACTTTTCTCGGTTCTTAATTTGATCTGAAATTTCTCTATTAAGAGGTCTTTTTAGGAGATTAGTCAAACTGGCACCAACTACACATATTGCTCAAATTTTGGTCAGGAAAAACAAACAAAACGTCCGCCTGGTTGTCTACATTAGTCTGATCGATTACAAGTCGCCAAAAAGACAGACAACAAATTGTGCAAACCTGTTTATAATATTTCAACACTGTTTCGGTCTGTGCCTCCGGTCTATTTGGATTCTGCTGCATTTCCGAGAAAAACGCAATCTTAATGTAGTGTCTCACAAACAACAAGGCATGAGTAGTCTTGTTCAGATTATCCTTGTGACTTCTCACAACTCGAACCTGAGCTGTATAATAAGTATTAGCTAGTGCAAGTAATTCCTCGTGAATTCGTTTTATGTATCCGTCCATCACAGTTCCTTCTGAAAGCGGTAACACAAGCAAACTTTTTGGAGAAATTCCGCAAGCGTCACATAACTGGGCGGCGTAGTCACTGGCTTGCGGCGAATCTTCGCCTGCTGGCAAAATAACTCTTTTTTGGATCAGAATCAGGACTATTTTGGTTTGATGTCCGTTTTGAGGAGGTCCCATAGTTTGACCTTGAAGAGTCTGTTTTATTCGTTCGATTCTGGCTACACATTCGGATTGTTTCGCTGGCAAGTCACTGTCGTCCCAATTAAGCTCGAAGAACACGGCAACTACCGCTGGAACATGATTCAAGTGCTTATCAATCCACCCCATTTTCAAAATACCCTTCGGAATGTACCATTCGTACGAACCCTTTTTGGGCTTGGGCTTAGGAACTTCGAAATTGAGATCAACAATTTTGGAACTCAACGAAGCATTTGGTTTGTGGAACGAGCTGAAACTCTCTCCGATCGCCGAATGTGTTCTGTTCGTTTGATCCAAGCCACACAGAAACACAAGAGGGCGAGGTCTTTTGAGGATTTCCTCAGGAAAAACACAGGCAGAAGCCATCTACAAAATAGGCCAATAAGACATCTGAAAAGTACAGAAGTAGACAGAGTCAAAATGAAACCTTTCATTATCTAAAAACCTCCGCGAATAACAAAAACAGTATCATTGAGCACAGATACGAAGCGAAGCTTCGCACCGCGTCCGCTTCAAAAATAAAGCCAACAATCATCTCTTAAATTTTGAAAATTCTTAAAAAAGAAATTTCAAAAACGCTCGAACTGCTACAACGAATTTGTAGAAAATTTATAAAAACTCTGAATATCTATGAAGTTTTCGCAATTACATCATTCTTCTCAAAAATGACGTGAATGCACAACGGTGAATAAAACGTGCGGCAAGTGAGCCGACAAAATTGGGACGAAATCCTAGCAACCGACAAAAATAATTTTTATCTGAAAATTTTTTCAGCTATAATCTAGTATCGCTTCAGCATCTCTAGACCAAGAACTAGAGCTGCTAAAAGTGCAACTTGGCTAGAACTGTAGATCCTGTGAACAAAGTTATTTAGGGGAAAAAATATCCTTATTTCACAAGCTATCATCGTTCCGCTCGCTCACGAAAAGCAGAAGAAAAAATTGCGTATGTTGAGTAGGATACTAAAGCCTTTCAGTGTTGAATCAGAATAACTGGCAAGCGTGTCTCCATGATCAATTGCTCAAGAGTTGGTTGTTCAATTTTTTCTAAGCAAGCTAATTGAGCCATGAAACTTTGAAATATTTCAAGCTAATTCACGCAGGGAATCGGATGGCGAAAAGTTTTCTATTGAAGCCTTTCAAGTGACAAACCTTTGAATATTTTAAATCGCTTCATAGAGCGTATCAGTTAGCGAAATCTAGGTTTTTCTTAGAATTCTATTTAAGCGATGAAACTTTGAAACAATTCAGGTTGTTTCATACAGCTAGTCAGTTCGCGGGAAAATAATTTTTCGAAAAAGCTTATCAAGCGATGAATTTTGAAAAATTTCAAGTTGTTTTTAAACCAAAACATTTTCCGAGAAATTTAAGTTCTCCTACGCAAGTTCTCTGAGAGACCTAATCGGGCGATGTACTTAGGAAAAAAATAGAATATTTCTTCATCCAAATCAAATGCTTTCGCGAAAAGTTATAGATTTCCTATGAAGGCTACTCTAGAGACGAAACTTTATATTATTTTACGAATTATTTTAAATTTTTCATAGCGAAATGTTTTTGCAAGAGTAAAAATTACCTATGCAAGCTATTAAATTAATGAGTTATTGAAATACTTCAAGCTGTTTCAGAAAGGGAATCAGTTCACACAAAAATTTATTCTCAAATAAAAAAAACTTTGAATTATTTCAAGTTGTTTCAAGAAACGAATAGTTTCACAAAAAAAAAGTTTTTCTTAGGCAAAATATTAAAGCTATGAAAAATTTCAAACTATTTGATAAACTGAATAGGTTTCGAACCAGTTGAAATTTTCGTAAGCCAGCAGTTCAAGCTATGATTTAGTTCAATAATTTCGAAGATCGAATCGAATTGCGAAAATTTTAAGTTTTTCTAGACAATCTAAAAAAAACTTAGAGAGAATCAGTCCACAAAAAAAGATTAAATTTTCTTTGGCAATCTTATCAAGCTAAAAAGACTTCGAATTTTTTCAAGTTGTCTCATGAAGTGCATCGGTTCAATAAAACTTCATTTGTCTTAAGCAAGCTACTCAAGCAATGAAACTTTGAAATATTTCAGATTATTTCACAAACTGAAACAGTTTGCGACAATTTTTAGTTGATCTAAGCAAGCTATTTAAACAAAGAAGATTTGAAATTATTCAAGTTAACTCATAGGCTGAATGAGTTCGCCAAAAATTTAAGTTTTTCTGAACAAGTTATTCCAGCTATTAAAATTTGATATTTTTCTAAGTTTTCTCATAAGTTATTTCAAAGACCGCGAATCGGTTTGCTAAAAGTTAGTTTTTCTAAGCATGGTGGTTGCTGTTTAGTTGATTCGTTTGAGACTGAAATGAATCTTGAAACGCAAAAACTGGACAAAAAGCAAAAACGGGCAGGTACGGTCTAGCCCTGAAGTTGAATCGAATTCATCTTGGTTTAAGACTTCAGAACTTTTTCGAAAAATAATTCTTGAATAATCCAGCTTACGTTTAAAAACTCTGAAGCGTTAGTTTGTTTTGACAAAAAATTCTAAATTATTCTAGATTCAGAAGAATTTCTCAAATGTTGAGGTCAATGATCGCGTTTAATCATTGAGCTTCATAGAAACTGAAACATGGCATTAACTTTTCTGTCATTCGTTTGATATATTTCAAAATTGTTCATAGAGCGGATAAGTGTGCGAACGGTTAAATTTTTACAGAGCTAGCTATTGAGGCTATGAAAGTTTGAAGTATTTCAAGTTTTTTCTTAGAATGAAACGTTTTTACTGAGCGAGCTAATGTATAAATTATAATTTTTCTATCCAAGCTAGTCAAGCAAGGGAAATTTAAATTGCAGGTCGGTTCATAGAGCAAATCAGTTGGCGAAAACTTCGTTTTTCTTAGCAAGCTATTTAAGCTGAAAGAATTCAAATTGTTTCATACAGCGAGTTGGTTATCGGAAAAGTTAAGTTTTTTTAAGCAAGCTATTCAAGCAATAGAAATTTAAATGTTCCCAGCTGTTTCATAGAGCGTATCAAACTGCGGAAACCCCAAGGTTATTTAAGCTATGAAATATTTAATTTAATTTATGAACCGAACTGAATGGCGAAAAGTTTCAGTGTTTTTAAGAAAAGCTATCTCAGCTATGAACCTTTGAAATATTTCGTGAAGCAAATCGAATCACGGTAGTTTTTTTTACTCAGCAAGCTATTCAAACTATGAACATTTGAAATGTTTCAACTTATTTCTTAGACTGAATCGGTTCGCGAAAAGTCTTTTCTAAGCTAGCTATTCAAGCTATAAGAGTTTGAATTAGTTTATCAGTTCGCCAGAGAAATTGAAGTTTTTCGTGGCAAGTTATTCCAGCTCTGAAACTTTGAGATATTTCAAGTTATTTCATAGACCGCGAATGAGCGCATGCTAAAAGTTAGTTTTTCTGAGAATGGTGGTTGCTGTTTTTAGTTGATTCGTTTCAGACTGAAATAAATCCGTAAACGCAAAATTCTGGACAAAAAGTGGGCAGGCAGTCTAGCCTTGCAGTTGAATCGAGTTGATTGTTTTTATGGAGTTCCGGACTTTTTTCAAAAAAGATTTTAGAATAATGGAAGAGAGGCGTAAGGTTCTATATTCCAGACTTTAGAATATTCGATGGTTGCCTGATCTTAGTCTTCTTAAACGTTGCGCTCGGTGGCATTTCTTAACCATTGCGCCTTATGACTACCAAAAAAATGCCATTCGATTAACTTATAGATAGATTTAAAATAAAAATAACTTGATCTCTGCGAAATGCGTTAGTCTGTTACTATTATTTCTCCGCATTCCACACTAAAACGCATAATAAATTGATGGTAGAAATAAAAATTTAAGCACAAAGGGGCCAAGATGCGGTACCCCATAGGTTAAAAAATCCTTGCCATGGCAGAGAGTCAAATGCACACTATGACTCTAAGCAATCTGATCTGAAAGCAATAGCCTTACCGCTACGCTAAGCGCCCCGCACTATTTCAATTTAATTCTAATTTAGTTGCTGTGACAAACATTTTAAATAGTTTCAGAGTTGGAAAACGCAAATGAGGTAATCCAGTTTAACCAAAGAGTTCCTATGCGCTGTGGTTATCGTTTAAGAGCACAATAACTTATTGTTCCGACTTTGGTAACGAAAGTAACGGAACATTTGTGCAAAATATATCACTTTTACTTCAAATGGCGTGTGATTTCTCAAAAATTTAAACAAAAATTTCGTTTTATTTTATTACATTTTATTTTTATCTTTTATTTTATTGTATTTAATTACAAAATCTGCAGCCCTAAATCAAGCAACGGAAGAAGAATTATGGAAACACCCAGTTCTGTAGATAATCGCAGCTGGGAAACGTCATTGAAAACACCAAAATTGCCGTCACCATTGAAGGGAAACGTGAAACCAGCAGAATTGAAAGGAGAAAAAAGAGCAAATTTATATTTTCACTAGTTCATGCGGCCCCACTAGAAAAATTTTCAGAACAAATAATCAAAAACTTTCAATCAGCTACTGTTAATGCTAACCAACCTGCATTAAAGATTTCTAGAATTGATTTTCCCGCCATCAAACTCTCTTTTCACTCCCTTACTAACTCATCTCAAATTTCGTTGTTATTAAAAAGAATAAACCACAAAAGAAACATATTGGAGAAAAGGAAAGACTTAAATTCTGTTATTTAATATTTCCAGCTCGAATCTTTCTAAAAGAGCTAAAAGATGGACTTTTTCTTACCTCTGAGATAAAATAAGATATCTATAGAAATTAGATACACTAAATCCAAATGCAGGAAGATGAGAATGGTGTCTCACGAGGTGATAAACTATCCTCGGTCCTATTTAACCTTTTATGTCTCAAATGCGGCTACCTGAGAATGACACCATCAATTTGTGTTGAAACGAAAATATTAACCTCAAAACACCAAGTTCTAACATCAATAATCTACACAGAGGCGTAGCTGCGCTTCGCAAACACTAGTAGCGAGAACACGCCAAAAATCAATTCTATAAAGCGCAATAAATATAAGTAAAAAAAAGCCTCGAAATTCGGCTAGGTCTCTGATTCGATCTAGGACCTACGGCGACCTTAAGAAAATGAGTCTCACGCACTAAACACTCAGCCACGGACACAATTAATCACAACCAATGGCCTCAAATAAAGCAGAGAAAAGTTGCTATGAAATTGCCAATGCTACCGATCGTGATTATAGCAAAAGTTATATCATATTATGAACACTTTGCCACCAAATAATGAACACTTTGCCACCAAATAATGACACTTTCATTGGCGAGTTAGGTTAAAGAAAGAAGGTTCGTACTAATACATTAACGCTTGCTAGTGTAAACAGAACTAATGAATCGTTATCTGGACAACCTCGAAACACGGATAGCACGAAAATCTCTCATAAACAAAACACAAATTTTCAGCACTTTATTTTTTAAGTTACAAAGAAATTGATCAATGAACAAATGGTATGGTTGACGATACCAAACTACTCGTCACTTGTTACCCAAAAAAAATCTAGGCGCTATATTTGACAACCAACGCAACTTCAATGAACACTGTAGAAAGCTTTCCGGCACTACTTCGCAGCATTTTTAAGCATGAAGATATTAGCCGGACTAAAAATCTTCACACCACAAACAAAGAATTTTTTTTTGAATGAATGACCTACTCTACCTGGCAGATTACCACCACCAACATCAGCAAAAGTACCCGACTTCTGCCAAAGTTGTAGCATAAGAATGCAAACCACCGACCGTCTACATAACAGCCAAGTAAACTCTACCTTTTACCATCAAGAGCTCTTGAGAATCCCAGCTCATCATGTAGCCTCACGAAATGGGAGTTTCCCTGGTTCTCCTCAGTTACTAAAAACTGCCTGTGAGCCGAAAACGTTGGGCCTTATTCTCAGAAACAGAGGTGGCGTCGAAACCAACACGACGACGATATTACTGGAAAAGTTGGTTCCCTTCTACGCAGGTTTTGCTGCTAGAGACCCTCTAAGAGCTGCAGTGATAGACTTGACTAGTTGAAATCATCATGAACAAGTATCAATTCACATTCCCTGTCACCCCCACCCTAAAAACGCCCCTCATCTCAGCTCAAATATTGATATTAGTATATTACTAAACTCGTAATTACACATAATTACTGAAGCCTATTTTTTTGAACTTTTTTTAACTTCTTTTATAAATAAACTTTTTTAGTAAGAAAACAATCAAATTTGAGATCGTACAAAACAAAAAAAAATCATCAGAAAAATTCGTAAAATAATTCAAAGTCAGACATGAATCTCGTTTTTAAGATCAATGTGCAGTAGCTGCAGCCGGTAGACATGTATTGCATGTAACTGTCGAAGGTGGATTTGTGGGTACAGGTTTGGCGATCATTTTGTTGATGGCGGTCGCTAGCTTCTTTGGATCTGACACAGCAGATGGTGCTCCTGCAAGGTACTGCTGAATTACCTAGAACAAAATCATGAAAATCACTAAATGAATTAAGACTTGATCAAGATGGGGATTTTTTTGTCGTGAAAAAAGTACACAATTAATTTCTATACCAAGTTTAATGTTAAGAACTATTTTGTCTTGAGATTATCAATCATAAACAAAATTTTTAAAGCCCCCGACTCTACCCTCACAGGGTCTTCCTAGATTAGTCGTGTGTTCGCTGCAGCCGTTCCCGCCATGAGGAGCCGGCTGAAACTGAACCCTCCAACCGGACTGAAGTGGGATTCGCAACCCGATCCTCGTTTAAACAGCCGCGCGCCTTACTCATTCGGCCACAGCCGCCCGATGATCAAAATACATGATCGCATGCAGTCTTCAAAAGTGAAAACAACAATGGAAGACTTGATACAGCTACTGTTGTTCTCACTTGGGAAGCTCTGCACATTTCGAAACTATGCTGATAAAATATTGCAAGCCTTTACTTACATCTTGTATATTGCTCATTGTCTTCCTGTATCCTGCTTGGTACCCTCTGCTCACTTCGAAATTGCACTTCAACTTCTTGTTCACGTCTGGGTCGATACACTTCGGAGTTACATATGGCGTCTTCATAGCTTTGGCATGGGACATTGTTTCCGTGTTACGAGGGACGCGCAGAAATCGGATAGTGGCATTTTTCGCAGCTGGGTACCGGATTTTGCCCAGAATGATCAGGCTGTCAGCCATATCTACAGTTTCGAAGTAGACATTGAAACGCGGCTCATCGTCATTGCGTCTGGAAAATATCAACAAGCCTAACTATAACAGTATTTTTAATTAACACACAGAGGCGAAGGATCTCTTCACAAGCCTCAGGGAATAGCTAAAAACAAAATCATAGAAGCAGTTGAATATGAACAAAGATAGCCAAACATAGTTGAAAAATGTCAATGAGCTCAAGGATCTAAGCTGTTTTTTGAAAAAGTTACATCTTTCGCCTTAAAGATCTTCGAAGTTCAAGAACCATTTATGATTGCCTTTTTTTGAAAAATTAACCATTTGAAAAAGTGTTGATAGGCACTTATTTTATTCTGCTGTGAAAGATCAATTACTAGCAAGTGTAAAAACCACATTTCAAACTAATGTCATTCACTTTTTTTAACGTTGGCATTATCAGAGAGCTTAATTTGCCTTTTTAGTTTGAATTGCCTTTTTCGCAAATTAATTTGAAAATAACTCAGCTCCGAAATCAAAAGTCAAGCTGTGTAATTAGAAGAAAACAGAAGTAAAAAACAAAAGAAACAAAGATAGCCGGTTACTGTGCAAATAGAGAAAAAAAAATAAAAACTTTTTTGTCGTTCGGATCACGACTGAAAGGGCTGCTTAATATGATATATAACTCGACCCATTCCGATGATTAATTTCGGTACCTGCTTTTGCGAGGAAAACAAAAAACTTGAAACACAACCGAATACAAAAATCCTAACCATGTTTCAAATGGTCAGAACAATAAAACTTTTTCCATGGGCCAAAAGTCAATCTCCGACCTGCAGATCACGAGTCTCAAGTGCAAAAAAGCCAAAAAAAACTTTTATTTGCAAATTTCATTTGTTGGAAAAAAGTTTCTACGTAGTATTTCACTATTCTCAGCTTGCGTAAAGACGCTGATAACTTTTGCTTATTTTTTTGTCCTTGTCATGAGAAAAGCCCCTGAACCAATAAGTGTCTGAGCTTTGTTCATTGACATTTAAAAACAAATCGCCAGAAAACAAGCACTAAAATGTGGCTTATTCAAATAAAATAACACTATTGTTGCAAATTTTCACTTTTCGTGAAAATTTAATCCTCATTCTATCATACACGTCCAGTTGAGAGCAAGGTAACCAAAAATTTAGAGCACAGAGCACTCAGGCTGATACAACTTTTGAAAAAATTGGACTCTACCATAAAAGCCCCCTTTCTGTGATTTTTTTTTATGCGAGGGGATGGCAGAGCGCCTTTAAATTGAAAAAGCCAAAAAATTAATCTGTTGAGTAAAAACTTGCATAAACAACAGTATGCGATTGCTACCACAGTCAAACATCAATACAAATAAATTAGTTGAAAAAATCTAAAAGATTTTTCGGATTTTTCTAAATATTTTGAAGTTTTCTGTAATGCAAAGGAGCAGGAATATAAACTTCAAAAAAGTTTATTGCTACCTTAGTAAGTTATTGAAAAAAAAAATAAAATTTTTTGAATTTATATTGATTGAAAGTAGTTTTATTAGGCTATTTCCCCTCACTACCCACCCATTTGAAAATGAGTTTTCCAATTTTTTCAACATCATCAATTTTTTCGACATCAGCCAACCGTCATCATCAACATCGTATTTTCCACCCTCTTCTCTCGGAATCGAAGGTATTACCAATCATATTTGTTTCCGTTCTGATTGCTATTTGATGTTAGTGCGAAAAGCCTTAAGCGGCCATATTCTTGATACAAAAAAAGCATCCGAATGCGTTCCGTTTTGTAGAGCCCAAGGCTGCATAAGATAATCTACTGAGCCATAAATTGAATTTTGAACAGAGCCTGAATTTTGAACAGGGCCATTGTCCGAAAAACCGAACGGAAAGCGAAACAACATTGATAACAATTGATGAAATAAGCCAAAGATTTCTGACAGCGAAATAAGTTGAGGACAGCGGCAGATGGATGCATGCTATCGGAAAAGCAGTACAGAGAAGAAAAATTTAAGGGTAGACCGAAAGCGGCCATACCCTACAGAGTATCGGCAGAGTAGGCCCAAAAATCAATCTGGAATGAAGATACTGTTAATTATAACAACGGATTAAATGAAACAAGATAACAATAATTTGAGTGAGCTCAGTGAGAATTTGTACACAGAGGCGAAATTGCACTTCGCATACACAAGGTAAAATATGACCGATAACGCTACTGGGAAAAACTGGATGAGTAAAACTTTGAGACTACAAAATTTCTTACGTGACACACTAATTATGAGTCTACAAAATTGCTAATGGACGCAAGCCAATTATGACGCATTAGCAGTACCAGCCAATTAGTGGCCAAAAAAATTACCAACTAACACGCTTCAATTATAGAGCGGACGCATTTTAATTAGTATACGAAAAAGTTCATTAAAAACATCCGACCCTGCCCAGGTTCAACCCTCTTATTTTGCTGCTGGTCACTCTCCCTACCTTACACTACAGATCCATGATACCTTGAAGCTTAAGTGCTATTTGTTATATAATGCTCTGTGTTAATATCCTTAGCATTGGCTGTACTTAATAGCTGATTATTGATCAAAATTAAGACTTTCAAAATCACACAAGCTTTGCTTGTGTACAAAATGAACACTAATATTTGTGACTTAGGTTGGAAAAACAGAGAGCTCATACTATCACACAAGCTTGGCTTGTGTAATAATGCTAACACAAGTTACGGAAAGAGCCTGAACGCGCCATACATAGCACCAGAGGATAACAAGCATACCTGTAACTAGCGTGTAACGCACCTCCGGTACTCCCGAATTTTTAACAACTCAAAACAAAACCGCACATATTGGAAACAAAATCTGCATTCTTTGAGTATACTCTAACAGCGCCCAATTACAGGGTTCGCAATTACAAATTTTGCAAAGTTTTTTATTCAATTTTTTCATACAAAGTTTGAAGAACCATAAAATTTTGTGATGTTTTATAATTTATATGTGAAGTTTTGTTTTATATGAGCAGTTCTTTGAAAAAATTTAAAATGAACTAAAAAACGTCACATCTGGGAAACTAAAAGCAATGGAGCAGTCGCATTTGGACGTTCGCGTTGAGAAATTTTTTCACGTTTAAGTATTTGGACGTTCGCGCCAACGCAGTCGCGTTGGGAAATTCAGTTTTGAGAAACTTCAACCTTAATTTTTCTAACAAAGGTACTTTTTGAAAACCAGAAAAAATGACACATCTGGAAAACTAGCAAGATTTGAGCAATTTTATTTGAAGGCAATATTCGCAATCTTTTACAGTACTCTGACAGCACGCAACTACAGGGTTGAGATTTCACTTTTGTGAATAATTTTGTAATTTGAGTTTCTGAAAACATCCGAAAAAATCACTCAAATCGTCGTATCTATTAAACTAAAAAGATTTGGGAACTCTCCATAGGAGGCCAAATTCGCAACCACTGAGATTACTCTGACAGCCTCCAATTACAGGTACGAATTTCAAATTTTGAAGAAAAAAAATTATTCTCATAAACTTATGAAAAAATTACGAAATAAGTCAAATCTGAAAAACTACAAGGTTTTGAGCAGTCATATTTGGAGGCAAAACTTGCAGCTTCTGAGAGTACCTTGAAATGGCCTCATTACAAAGATGGGAACTTCGAATTTTGTGAAAATTTTTATATCTAAGTTCTCTGAAAAAATCCCAAAAAACGTCATATCTCGGAAACTACAAGGATTTGAGCAGTCATACTTGGAGGCAAAACTCGCAACCCCTGAGAGTTCTGTTTCCTCACAATTTCCAACAAGAGGATTGAGATTTTCAAAGTTTTGGAATTTTTCTTTCAAAATCTAAGTTTTTCTAAAATTTTTTGAAAAAATCATAAAAAAACGTCATATCACAAAAACTACAAGGATCTGAGAAGTGAGATTTGAATGCAAGATTCGCAACCCCTGAGAGTACCCTGACAGCACCCATTGAGAAATTTTTTTAAATTAAATTTACCAGAAATTTTTGAAAAATCTCGAAAATTGCCGTATCTCGTAAACCAAAAGGATTTGGTTATTCATATATGGAGGCCAGAAACGCAAAACCTGGGAAAGCCCTGACTTAATCCCGCTATTGGGTTGCTCATTTCAAACTTGATAAAATAAACACTGAATTAAAACTAGAAAATCGAAAAAAAATCTTAACCATTGCAATACACGATATAGCTTAGACGTGCAAAAATTCTCTTGTTAAACATGTAAAAATAATACGTTGAAAAAGCTTAAGCATGGAGAGATAGTGAAGCCCGCATTTAAATCTATTATATATTTAAATGCGGGCTTCACTATCTCGCCATGTTTAAGCTTTTTCAACGTATTATTTTTGCATGTTTAAGCTATATCGTACATTGCAATGTTTAAGAATTTTTTTCGATTTTCCAATATATTATTTATTATATGTTTAAATGCGGGCTTCACTATCTCGCCATGTTTAAGCTTTTTCAACGTATTATTTTTGCATGTTTAAGCTATATCGTATATTGCAATGTTTAAGAACTTTTTTCGATTTTCCAATATATTATTTATTATATGTTTAAATGCGGGCTTCACTATCTCGCCATGTTTAAGCTTTTTCAACGTATTATTTTTGCATGTTTAAGCTATATCGTATATTGCAATGTTTAAGAACTTTTTTCGATTTTCCAATATATTATTTATTATATGTTTAAATGCGGGCTTCACTATCTCGCCATGTTTAAGCTTTTTCAACGTATTATTTTTGCATGTTTAAGCTATATCGTATATTGCAATGTTTAAGAACTTTTTTCGATTTTCCAATTTGACTTAAGTGGTTATTTTACCGAGTTTAAATTAAGCAGCCCAAAATCGAATTAGGGGTTGCGAATTTGGCCTCCACTTTTGAGGGCCCGAATCATTTTAGTCAATGAGATGAGACAATTTTTGAGATTTTTTCAAAAATTTTCAGAAATTTCAAATTACAAAAAAATTTACAAAAATTGAAGTTCCCAACCCTGTAGTTGGGTGCTGTCCGAGTACTCTAAGGAGTTACAAATCTTGCCTCCAAATATGACTGCTTAATTCTTTGTAGTTTTCGAGATATGACGTTTTTTGTGATTTTTTCAAAAGTTTTCAGAAAACTTAATTTATTTTATTATTATTTTTTAAAATCTGAAATTCCCAACCCTGTAGTTGGGTGCTGTCAGAGTACTATCAAGGATCGCGAATCTTGTCTCCCAATATGACTGCTCAAAACCTTGTAGTTTTCGAGATATGTCGTTTTTTGTGATTTTTTCAAAAGTTTTCAGAAAACTTTAATTATTATTAGTTTTTAAAAATCTGAAATTCCCAACCCTGTAGTTGGGTGCTGTCAGAGTACTATCAAGGATCGCGAATCTTGCCTCCCAATATGACTGCTCAAATCCTTGTAGTTTTCGAGATATGTCGTTTTTTGTGATTTTTTCAAAAGTTTTCAGAAAACTTTAATTATTATTAGTTTTTAAAAATCTGAAATTCCCAACCCTGTAGTTAGGTCCTGTCGGAGTACTATCAAAGATTGCGAATCTTGCCTCCAAGTATGACTGCTCACTTCTTTGTAGTTTTCGAGATATGACGTTTTTTGTGATTTTTTTCAAAAATTCTCAGAAAACTTAAATTATTATTAATCTTTAAAAATCTGAAATTCCCAACCCTGTAGTTAGGTCCTGTCACAGTACTCTCAAGGATTGCGAATCTTGCCTCCAAATACGACTTCTCAATTCTTTGTAGTTCTCGAGATGTGACGTTTATTGTGATTTTTTCAAAGTTTAAATTAATTATTTTTCAAAATTTGAAATTCCATCAAATATTCTTTAAGTTTCCGAAATAAGACGTTTTTTCAGTTTTTTTTTCGGGACACTTAGGTTTAAAAAAATTCACAAAAATTTGGATTCCTAATCCTATAGTAGGGTGTTCTCAGGGACTCTCAGTGGTTGCAAATCTGGCCTCCAAATTTCTCCAGAGGCCCATTAAATTTTCATGATGACGCTTTTAAAATGGGAATTAAAAAATTTTTTATGTTCGAAATTACCAACCCTGTAATTGGGTGCAGTCAGAGTACACTAAAAGTTTGCAGATGTTGTTTCCAATATATGCGTTTTTTTATGAGTTGTCGAAAAATTCTCAAAACTCACAATTTAAACATTTCTGCGTAACACTTTCACTAAAAATTTTCGCATAAACTCTCATTGTATCGTAAAACTTCAGCAACTCTAACTTTAACTTTCTTAATCTTTCAAAATTGAGCATTCTGGGCGATTCACAATTAATTATATTCGGTTTTAGACTTACTCTGGCGTGAGCAGCAAAATAGACACACATCTGATGCCTGGAATAGATTCCAAAAATGGTTGCAGACTTTTCTTCGCCTCCGCAGTATCCGGAACATTCTGCAATTCAACTCCATTCGGAACATACTTGTCCTCTAGGTCTCTCAATCCACGTGGTTTGTAGCGCATCACTACCAGCTTCTCGAGACCTTTCTGATGATAGACTTTGTCGAATTTAGTGAGCGCTTCAGTAGTTTCCTCATATTTACTCATTGTAACCTGACAGTAGACGAAGGGGTTCTTTTGCTGGCTGAAAATTTGACATGGTTAACAACTAAAAAGCCATTACTTACATCAAATTCGCATTAAAGCAGAAAAACAACTCAAAAACCCAACTTTCGCATCTTGGAAATTTCAGAATTGAACGCGCTATTTATGTCTAGCTGAAAAATCTATGTGACCAAAGTGTGACTAGAGATGCTAAAAACGAACACAGCACCCCTTAAAACAAAAACATCAGAAAAAAGCCATCCAAATAACACAAAAACAAAAACCCCACATTGACGAACGAATATTCATAATAATCAATTTACTCGGCATCTTCTACGCTCTCATACTCTTCAACTACATGTATCTCCTTCGGGAACCCAAACTGCGCAAAATGCAACTTCAATTGCTCATCTGAAACTTCTTTGTGGTCAAACCCAGTAGCAAACAGCAACTGCAGTTGGCCACACTCTCTCACTTCGCTCAGAGGAGGATCGAAAGAAGGATCATCTCGTGATGACTTGCCATTGACGTTTCCAGATGGGGTATCTGAAAACCGTTTCATAACGGTTTGATCCAAAATCTGAAAGATTAACTTTTCTCCTGATACAGCTAGTAATATAGTTAGTGGACTAAGCTTTAAAAATAGTTCATTTATTTGGCAATTTTAGTAATAGCAAGCGTATTGAACAGAAGCGTACGCTAACATTAAAACTTTTTAACACAGATGGAGTCTTCCAGGCCTCGCTCAATCAAAAATACCTTTTTCCTTGTTCATCGTGATTGAACGCAAATTATGAAGCACCTAGCAAAGCCTTGACGATTCATTCCAAAAGAAATAACAATAAAAATTGCACACAGAAGCAGAGATTCACACCACTTGCGATAGAATACAAAAATAGCATGGCAAACAAGCCAACATGCATTGAGAACGAAGCCCTAAGTCGAAAGCAAATTAAAAAGTCGAAAAATAAGAACTATAAAAATTTTCATATTTTGTTTAAGAAAGAAAGAAAAACATATATTTCTCCAGCATGAATAAACATACAATCTGAGCATCAAAATTTGAGACTTTGAGAGGACAGACAACGTGAACGTAGGATCTACTCAGCGTCTGCCCTTACAGGTTATATTTATTGGGTAAAAACTAAATGGAAAAAAAAATCTTTCACCTTTAAGATTTTTCAAAACAAATTGAAGAAAAAGGTGATTCCATTTTTATTAAATTAAGATCATTTTAAAAAAGAACAATAACTGAACAATTGGATCGACGTTGGCATTGGAAAAAAACTTCACCCAGCGGTAACAAAGCCAACAATATACCCGATGAGCCGAAAAAAAATCCATAGCCCCCAATCAACACAAACATATACAAAATTTTTCAAACATCAAATGACCCAATATATAGCTTCTCGCCAACAAACATACGAAACAGAACCTTTATAGCTCTAATTAATATAGAAAAAACTCGAAAAGAACTAGAAATTTTTTTAAAGCAAATCGGAAGTGGTAAATATACAAACAGCATAGGAAGCAAATGTTGAATAGAACGGGTATTTGGAATGCTGACATGCTTAAGCTTTGTCAGCATTTAACACCTTTGCTTATCGGTGAATAACGGTAGAGCGAGTGCAATTCAAGGAAAGCTTTCTTGCGACGACAAATCAAGAAAACTTTCTTTTGAGCGAGTGCAATTCAAGGAAAACTTTCTTGCGACAGAAACATTGCAAATTGCAGAAACACCAACCCAAAGTCTAATACAATTTAAATGAACTAGTTTAAAATTGTTATTTTCGCGTAGCTGTTAGTTTTTGTTCCGATCATTGAAAATGGGAGAGAAGTTTGTATTCGGGTGTTTTAGATTTTTTTTGTTCCGACCATTGAAAATGTGAAGGAACACAGTTTTCGGGTTTTTTTTTAAAAAAATTTTTAACGCAAAATCAGGTACCACAAATAATCATCGAAATTGTTCATAAAATATATCATATTATAGCCCTTTCAGTCATGATTCTAACAAAACTTAAAAATTCCAAAAGTTATAATTTTGAGCACAGCAGGTTTGAATTTTTTTTATTGTGCGTCCAATTGCAAGCAAATAAAGTGAGCGAGAAGGCTGGTAAAAGGCTTTTAATAGCTTTTCAAACTTTTAAAATTAATTATTTCTTAGTTTTACTAAAGTGAAATTAGCTACCAATTTTCAATTTTTTTTTTGAAATTTTTTGGTTTTTTAAATTGTTATCTTTAACTTAAGTAAAAAACTTTTTCAAATGTCCCTTTTTTACTAACATCACACCAAAAGACGACGCAATTCGAAAAAAAAACTTTTTTTTTGTAGTTTGTTAAATAAGGTCGGGAACAATCTGTGCTACTTGCACAGCAATTGGCTATCCTTGTTACGCTCATATATAAGCTTCATAAACTCTTAGTATTCAAAACTTGTATAATTGAAGCTATTTCAAAGATTAAAATGTCTTTCTAGTGTCCCGAATCGGTTAATCGGTAGGTTTTCTTCATTTTACTGGGAAAAATAAAAACCATTTTTTTATCATTGTAGAGCGTAATTTGCATCCCATTTAATAACGAGTTTTGAAACAAAATTTTAAAAATCCTGGCAAACGTTTTAATCCAATAACCAAATAAATATATTTGACGAAGAAGAGCCATGGCGAAGTACCCGTACGTCAATCAAAAGGTAGGAGGCTCGAGGTCCAGTATGATCCACGCTCGTTGCTTGAGGCTAAGGAAACATTACCAGCATAGAACAAATACCAAAAAATTACATCTAAGTTGTTCCCAAAGGCACAACAACGGTTATCCAAGTAAAAAGCTGAACGATAATATCCGAACACAATCATTTTCAATGGTTCTGCAATTCTGATTAGTGGACTCAGAAACATGAATAAACACAGAGGCGAAGCTGAGCTTCGCACCACTTGCGATACAAATATGAATGCTATGAAAATCAAACGGGAAAAAAATAGTTTTTGTCAATGAAAATTGCAACAAAAGCATAAAATATCCGAAACAAAATTTCCTGCACCAAAAGAGACATTGTAAAAAAGGTTTCGAAATACAGAAGCCAATTTTTCAAAAAATCCTTTCTGCGGAACTGAGCAGACATACAATAATCTAAATAAGCCAAAAAAATTCTATTTGAAAAAAAAAACAAGTCAACTGGAGTCGAACTCCCGGGCTATGACGCATGGGGGTTACAGCAACTTGAAATAAAGCTGAACCATTGAGCTACGGGAACTAAGCCGACAAAAATAAACAGACGGACATCAATCCGAAAAAGCACTAAAACTCTAGTTTACAAAAAAGGGCCCGGCCGAATTCGAACCGCAAATCTTTGCCATCTCAAGCAGTTGTTTTATCTCTACGCCAGATGCACCCCATGATTATTGATTGGATTTGAATTTATAATTACCAAGCGGTAACGTAGCCGAAAAAAGCTGAGCAGAAACCCTTCATGTCGAGAAGAAACTTATAAAAAAACGTTAAGTCCTCTTTCTCACCAGAGCACACACGTACATTTTTCGGGCGTAACGACGCAATAAGAGGCCTAAGTCGATATATATTAGACCGAAATTTATCAAGCCAATAAAAAAGACGAAAGATGTGGCAACTAAACCGACATAACATAAGCAGACAAATAATAGGCCGAAATTTTTTTAGAACCGGATTAATTACAGTTGAAAAAAAAACGTCCTGATCAGTTACAAAACCAGGACCTTTGCAGTCCCAGGCGTATTCGTTAACTCCAAAGCCTGGGTGTACGCTGGCAATAAGGTTGTATCTTCATCAAGTTAGTAGTTTCAAATTTTTTGAATTTCTTTGAAGATAAGTTCTTTGACATTTTTTGAAAAAAATCAAAAAACGTCACATCTCGAAAAGTAAAAGCATTTGAGCAGTCGCGGTTCGCAGTCGCATGTGGCAAGATTTTCAACTCTTTAGAGTACCTTACCAACACCGAACTATAGCGTTGGGAATTTCAAATTTTGAAAAATAATTAATTTAAACTTTCTGAAAATTTTGAAAAAATCACAAAAAACGTCATCTCGAAAACTACAAAAAATTGAGCAGTCATATTTGTTGGCAAGATTCGCAATTTTTGAGATTATTCTGACAGGACTCAACTACAGGGATGGGAATTTCAGATTTTGCGAAAAAAATTTATTTAAGTTTTCTGAAATTTTTTTGAAAAAATCACAAAAAACGTCATATCTCGAAAACTACAAGGATTTGAACAGTCATGTTAGGAGGCAAGATTTGTAATTCCTTAGAGTACTCTGACACCACCAACTACAGGGTTGGGAAGTTCAAGTTTTGTAAATTATTTTGTTATTCGAAATTTCTGAAAATTTATGAAAAAATCTCAAAAATCGTCTTATCTTGTTAACTAAAATGATTCGGGCATTCAAAATTGGAGGCCAAATTCGCAACCCCTAATTCGGTATTGGGCTGCTCAATTTAAACTCGGTAAACTAACCACTAAAATCAAATTGGAAAATCGAAAAAAAATTCTTAACCATTGCAATATACGATATAGCTTAAACATGCAAAAATAATAAGTTGAAAAAGCTTAAACATGGCGAGATAGTGAAGCCCGCATTTAAATACATAATAAATTTCAACTTGATTGTTCTTTTTAAACTAAAATGGTCATATCTTAAAAACTTATCTTTCAGATCTTTGTTTTTTAAATGATTAAAAAAAGTCTAGTACCCAATTGCAATACCCTTGCTATCGCAAGGGTAGATATTTGAAACATGAAAGAAATATTTCATGAGAAGCAATTTAGTATTATACCATTCATATTGAGATATGTCGATGCGCGAAAAAATCAAATGAACGAAGTCTTAATTATCTTATAACAGAAAGAGTTTTCAGATCTCGTCAACAATGATGATACGTACAAAAGTTAATTCATTATTTTTTCAACTTTATGTTTATTTTCTCCGCTGAAAAAATCTATCCAAAAAGGTAGAACTATTGCACCTTGAATACATAGTGGATTTAGAAATTTCATTATTGTAGGGAACCAACTTTACAAGTCAAGGAAATCTGATATGCTTAAAAAATGCAGAAAAAACAACTTCGAAAAGCTTGAGTAACCAAGAAAGACTATAAGTATTATGAACACAAAAAATAATTGGTACAATTGGGAAAAACAAACGAAACTCTCAATGAAATGAATGGTTGGCCTCGAAAGCCAAACATACCATCGCTGCCTGTGTGAATAGCAAAAGTTTGTCGCATCTTTCTTCAGAACCTAACGCCTTGAACGGTTTCTTTCTGTCATAAGCCTCGAAATTAGCTCTTTCCATGAAGCCTGCAGAACCAGTTGTTCAAACTGAAAGTCTAAGTCACGCTGTGCTTTTTTAACTGCCCGTTCAATTTAGTAACAAACATTAGTTTGAACCTGCAACCAAAACAAACGTGTCGAACTGATGAAATACGTGTGAAGTTACTTCTGATAAAAGCTTGTTTTCTGATAGTTTCTTATCTAACCTTTTTGACCAACCTCTCATTCAACTCTGGAATGTTTCCTCAGAAGCTTAAATATGCAATGGTTTCAA